GGTCGTGGAGGTGAAGCGATGTGGATCGAGCTATCAAGAAGTGAGTGATGGGGAGCGAGGGGGAGCGGGGAGAGAGGAAAGGGGCAAGGAGGATGAGGCATGAAGAGATGAGCAATGGGCTAGCAGGTAGAGGATTGAGGAGCGTGTTCGTAGAGGTGAGGAAGGCTGACGTGGATCGAGCCATCAAGAAGTGCGTGATTCTGGGGGCCACCGAAAGAGGGGCAAGAGGAGTGAGCGATCAAGAAGTGAGCGATGGGGGAGGGGGAAGAGGATGAGGCGTGAATGAATGAGCCATGTGGGAGCCAGGAGAGGGGAAAGAGGGGTGTTTCACGGAAAAACAGGCATCGGCCGTGCATGCTCCCACGCACAATTGCTCTCTTGCAAGCAAGCAGCCCTGTGTGCCATTGGGTTGAAGCTCACTCCGCTAAGGCCCCTCCATCTTCCCCCTCCCTCCCGTCACAGGTTCACAAATAAAGCCATGTACAGACAAGGCCATGAGGTTGACGCTCAGCCCATCATTTCCTCTTGCCGCCTCGTCTCACTCCTCTCCCGCCCCGCCCCCCCTTCCCCTAGCTGGTTCCGATGCCTGGAAGGGGACAATGCAATGTGCGTAGCCAGGGGACAACGCATCCGCTTCTCCTTTTCCCCCTTGCCACTCCCCCTTCCCCCCCACCCTTTCCAGGTTCAAGCTAAATCCGAAAGACACAACGCCAAACGCGTGGCTAGGGCGAGGCGAGGGCAACACCACTCTCATAATCCCATTCCCTCGAGGGCGACACCACTCTCATAATCTCATTCCCTTGTCCTCCCCCCTCCCCTCCCCTCCCGCACATACAGGTTCAATTCAAGGTCAAGCTCTGCACAGACAAGACAACACCATCCGCGGGGCGAGGGCACCACTCTCATGATTTTGATCCTTGTTCCCCCCCCCACCCATCCCCTATCCCCAACACTGGTTCAAGGTCAAGCTCTGCACAGACAAGACAACACCATCCGCGTGGCGAGGGCGAGGCAGCACCCTCCCCTTCCTCGCCTTGTTGCTGGACCTCCGCCCTCCTACTCGTCCCTTCCCCCCCTCTCGCAGGTTCAAGATCAAGCTATCCGCACAGACAACGCTATCCGCGTGGTGAGGGCAAGGGCAGGGCAGCACTCTCATCCCCTTGTTCCCTCCCCTCCGGTGTAACGCATCGCCCTCCTACTCTACAAGCAATCCTAGCTAAAGCGCTACCTAAGCAAGGTATCGACTTACGGGAAGAAGAGGTTGGAGGAGATGAGTGGTGATTGGTCCACAATTGTGGACCACCACCACTAAAAGACAAGCATGGTTGGGAATCAACCCAACCTTCACATTGGATGTAATTCCAACCAATAGCATTTGACCATTGCTGTTACAAATTTCAACATGTAACAAAACCAACCTTATCACAAAACTATCTCTCTCATTGGTTGCTAATCCAACCATTGTGCCACCTAAGCAAGCTTACCCCAAGGAGCTCCTTACCCTTGTTGCCATGGAGGAAGTGGAGCTCCCCAAGGAGGTCTAGGAGGGGTTTGAGCTAACCAAGCTCATTCTCAACTCCCAACTTCCAATTAACCAAAATGGAAATGGGATTTTCTCACTAAGTCCAAGACTTTTCCCTCACAAGTGCTCCAAGCATCTACCACCCACTTGGTGAAGCTACATCTTCTCTTCCAAGGCTTCACTTACCAAGCTTCCAATACTTGAGGCTACTATTAGGACTAGTCTTTATTGTGTGTGTGTGTGTTCTTGGCGTTTTATAAGCCTACTATTGACCCTTTTGTGGGCATTCATTTATAAGCCCGGGTCTTTATTGTGATTTTAAGGGCGTTTTCATATAAGCCCGTGTTACATCCGGGCTCCCCCCTCCGCAGGTTCAACATCAAGCTACGCACGAACAACGCTATAAGGGTGGCGCGGGCAAGGCCGCACTACTGGAAGGGCGCGGAGCTGAAGCGGCTGAGGGCCAAGGAGGCTGCCATCAAGCCCTTGCTGCTCCCTTCCCCCAACTCCAACCCCTCCCTTCTCGTCCTTACAGGTTCAAGATCAAGCTACGCTCGGACAACGCTATCCGCGTGGCTCGGGCTCGGTCGCACTACTGGAAGGGCGCGGAGCTGAAGCGGCTGAGGGCCAAGGAGGCGGAGATCAGGTGGCAGCAGAGAGACTTCCGGCAGAAGCTTGCTTGGATCATGGCCAAACGCGCCAGGTGGGGTGGGGTGCTGGGGGGAGTATGGTGGGTGGGTTGGTGGTGGGGAGGGGATTGAGCACTGAGCAGGGTAGGGGCCATGACACCAGGTGGGATGGTGACGTGGCAGCAGCGGGAATTCCGGCAGAAGCTCGCTTGGATCATGGCCAAACGTGCTAGGTGGGTGCTGGGGGAACATGGTGGGTGGGATGGTGGGGAGGGGATTGAACAGTGAGCAGGGGTAATGATTATGGCTCCAGGTGGGATGATCAGGTGACTTCCGGCAGAAGCTTGCTTGGATCATGGCCAAACGCGCCAGGTGGGGTGGGGTGCTGGGGGGAGTATGGTGGGTGGGTTGGTGGTGGGGAGGGATTGAGCACTGAGCTGGGGTAAGGACCGTGGGTCCAGGTGGGATGGTCAGGCGGCAGCAGAGAGTTTCCGGCAGAAGCTCGCCTGGATCATGGCCAAACGCGCCAGGTGGGTTGCATGAGCATGGGCATAGACCATGTCTTGAGGTGGCATGAGCATGGGTATAGACCACATCTCGAGGTTGCATGAGCATGGGTATAGACCATGTCTCGGAGGTGGCATGCGCATGGGTAAGGGCCAAGGGTCGAGTTAGGGCAGGCAGGGTACTGGGGATGGTCAGGCGGCGGCAGAGGGAATTCCGACAGAAGCTCGCGTGGGCAAACACGTGTATAGAGTTGTTTTTTTGAGCAGTCTCAAAAATTCACTTCATACATCGTGCTGTGGCCAAACACGTTAGTGGGATGAGATGTGATGCTAGGTGGGTGGGATGAGATGTGATGCTAGGTGGGTGGGATCTTGGCCAGGCGTTCCAGGTATGGTGGGATGAGAGGTGGGGGTGATGGGTGGGATGGGCAAGTGTGCAGGTGGGGTAGGGTGCTGGAGAGAGAGTGCAGCAGTGAGCATGGATGCATGGGGAAGGAGGGCCATGGCTCTTGGTTGGTGGCATGATGGGCTTATGCCTGATGGAGTGGTACGGGCAAGAGCTCCAGGTACGGGCAAGAGCTCCAGGTATGGGCAAGAGCTCCAGGTACGGGCAAGAGCTTCAGGTACGGGCAAGAGCTGCAGGTACGGGCAAGAGCTCCAGGTACGGGCAAGAGCTCCAAGTACGGGCAAGAGCTCCAGGTACGGGCAAGAGCTCCAGGTATGGGCAAGAGCTCCAGGTATGGGCAAGAGCTCCAGGTATGGGCAAGAGCTCCAGGCACGGGCAAGAGCTGCAGGTATGGGCAAGAGCTGCAGGTACGGGCAAGAGCTCCAGGTACGGGCAAGAGCTCCATGTACGGGCAAGAGCTGCAGGTATGGGCAAGAGCTGCAGGTATGGGCAAGAGCTGCAGGTATGGGCAAGAGCTGCAGGTATGGGCAAGAGCTCCAGGTACGGGCAAGAGCTCCAGGTACGGGCAAGAGCTGCAGGTATGGGCAAGAGCTGCAGGTATGGGCAAGAGCTGCAGGTATGGCCAAGAGCTGCAGGTATGGGCAAGAGCTGCAGGTATGGGCAAGCAATTGGGATGATGGGACGTGGGGTGATGCGCGGGATGGGAAAGCTGTACACATGGGATGCGGGGCGATGCATGATGGGCGAGCTGTGCACATGGGATGTGGGGCGATGCATGATGGGCGAGCTGTGCACATGGGATGTGGGGCGATGCATGATGGGTGAGCTGTGCACATGGGATGTGTTGCGATGCATGATGGGTGAGCTGTGCACATGGGATGTGGGGCGATGCATGATGGGCGAGCTGTGCACATGGGATGTGGGGTGATGCATGATGGGCGAGCTGTGCACATGGGATGTGTTGCGACGGGGAGAGAAGGTATCTTTGACCTTATATAGAGACGGCCTGTCTTTGCTATCTGGATTAGTGTTTTTTCTATCAGGAAAATCGTGCTTTGTACTGAGCACACAACTTGATCACATCAGCTCGGTCTGTCACTTAACCTCCAAATGACTCGTGACTCATCCTTCGTTCTGCATCAACGTTTGCCTCTCCAGTTTTCGGCGCGACCCGAATGAGCTTTGTCTCATACAACCCCATTTGCCTTGCATTCCTTAACACTTCTTTATATTCTCTGAACCTTCTTATGGTGCTGTGCAGGGGATTCTGATGCAAAGGTCATAAAACTGCCCTAAACTTCCGACCACGGTATCTGCTCAAAGGCACAATACGTCTAGGAGTCTAGAAATCCTACCCAACTGGTTGATCAAAATAAATTTCTCTCCCGCCCCGACCAATTGAGAAAGGCTCAAAGATCACATTCACAGCAGCACCGATTAGATCGTTACCGTCAGATTGGTTTTGGGTTTTGTTATGGGCCTAGGCGATTCGTCAGTGCCATTATCGCCCAGCCCAAAGAGATCCACCTAGCAACAGGAATGTGGGTCATGTCATGTCACGTGTGTCTCTCTTAGGGTTTGAAATGTCTCAAATTTTCTGGTGCCTGTCATCACCTCGTTCAGGGGTAAATGAAGCCACAGTATGGCCTGATTTTGACAATGGAGTGTGGCATTTGCATAGTGGTGCATACTTAGTGTAACAACTCAGGTGTCAAACTACCACCATCCCCTTTATGGAGATTCCTTACCGTATGTATTAAATTTCTCCATTTAAGATGATCAGCTATCGCACAAGCACAGTGCATAGACTGCAGATAACCATATGTTACCGGAGTGCCCAGCTAGCTAGAGGTAATCATGCTGCCATATGTCACATGCCGTAGCTGAAAGGTTTGTAGGCATTGCATCATAAGTGAAACCTCAACTGTACGGATAATTCACTTGGAACGGAGCCAAGTATCCTCAATCAGCAGGCGCATGAATCTTCTCCGTCTCTTCACAATCCTCACTGCATCCGTGGCGGTCGCAATCCCCATGTCGTCATTTGTGAACGCCGGCACAGGCCCAAAGTGGCAGTAGGCCAAGATGGCAACTGCAAAACAACAGGAAGCGAAGCAACATGATGAGTGAAATACCAGAAACATGAACTGACGGAAACAGGTTATAAGCAGCAGCATTGTACACTCGGCACTGTGCACTGTATAACATACCCAGCTCATGAATGGCAAGTCGGTTCGCAATGCGGTTCCGCAGCAGCGCCTGGATCAGCGCCAGCAGCGAGTCCACCATACCCAGCTGCACCGCACCCAACCGCTCCGCCAGCAGCGTAGCTGCAGACCCCCGTGCCCACCCCTCCCTGCGCGCCACGTCCTCCCCCACGCTTGGCGGAATAATAGGCTCGGGGAGGGCTAAGAGGAAAGACACAAGTGCACGAGCCATGGTGAGGGGGGAGGTTTCGGTGGGGAACGGTGTGCCAGTGTCAAGTGCGAGACGGGTGGGTGCAATTTGCAGCTCCTGAGCTACTGCACCCAGTGTTGCTGCCTTGTCCGCTAGGAACTGTGTCGACTCTGCCCCTTCCGCTTCCCCTGTCCCTGCTCCTGCTCCACCTCCCCCTCCTCCTGCTGCGAGGTCTGTTGCGGCTGCTCCCACTGCCTCTGCTGCAGCACCCACGGTGCCTGCAGCAGCAGCGACAGCTAGAGCAGCAGCGGTAGACAGCCCTGCCACTCCGCCTCGACTCAAAGTGCGAGACAGCTGTGGAAACACACCACCTGCACCAGCCCCAGCGCTGCTCCTAGTCCTGGCGAAGCTGCTGCTACTGCTGTCGGGGCTGCTGCTGCTGATGCTGCTGCTGGGGTTGCTGTTGAATCTGCTTTCGGGAGTGGTGGAGAGGGAACTAATCGCAGCAGACAGCACATCGGATGACAGACTCGCGCTGCACGTGTGCAAGAGTGAGTGAGGGTGCCCGTGCGGGGTGGACTGCGAGGAGGGGAAGTGGGGCGCACCAGTGCTGTCTTCCTGGTCGAGAGAAAGGTCGATGCCGAGAGCGATGGGGTCAAAGGCGGATGAGATGTCATGGTCGGAGTCCAGCAGAAAGGTGAGCATGCGCGCCACCTCCTTGGGCACCTCAAATGCGTCTGATGCATGGGATGGGTTTCCTGCTGCTCCTGCTGCTGCTCGTGCCGCTGCTCCTAACGGCCGATCTTCCTCCCCAGCTACAGCAGCGGAGTCATTGTCATTGTCAGGGTCGGTTTCGGATGCTTCTGGGATGCTACCAGCCGCAGCGGCAGCAGGTGTAGGTCGGGTGTGGTGGAGGGAAGATCGCTGGCGTGTGGCGATTGCGTCGAGAGAGAGCGAGCGGATGGGGTCCTTCAGACCTGCCAGTGCCTCCAGACTAGGGGGTCAGGAGTGGGGCGGGCAAAACGAGGGAGGGGCGAATGAAGGGAAGCGGGAAAGGAAAGGGATTGCGGTTGATGGCGTGGTGAAGGAGCGAGAGGATGGGGTGTTTGAAGCCCGTCAGTGCCAATAGAGTAGGGCTTGGGGAGAAAGCGGGGAAGGAGAGGAACGGCAGACAGGAGTGTTGAACATGTGGGGGAGGGATAAGAACGGCAGCAAGAATGGAGGAGGGAGAGGAGGTGGGATGAGGGAAATGGTGTAGATGAAGAGAGGGAGAGGCACTGCCGTTCTCGCAGGCCCCAGCAGGACGGCACGTAGCTCCCAGAGCATGCCACAAATAGGTCCCGGCCGCCCGCAATTGCGACCACCAGAATCAAATCCAGCAACCCGCCGCGATCCACCAGCAGATCCACCCTCCTGCCCGGCACAACCACCCAGGTGTGCAGGCTGAGAGTCACCGTGTGCCCTGGCGCCACTGCCCCTGCTGCTGGTTCCGCCACCACCCATGCCCCGCACCCCCCTGCAGGGCCGGGGGCAGCGGTGTCGGTGCTGCCTGCCGGGGCCACGGAGAAGCGCGCGGGGAGCGTGCCGAGATTGTGCAGCTCGATGGTTTGCCGGATTACAGACGCGTAGGGCACCTGGTGGGGGGTTGAAAGGAAGGGAAGCGAGGGGTTACGGGGGGCGTAGGAGCTGCCTGCCAGGGCCACGGAGAAGCGCGCGGGGACCGTGCCGAGATTGTGTAGTTCAATGGTGCGACGGATGACAGATGCGTAGGGCACCTGGTGGTGGGAGGGGAGGGGGGAAAGAGGGGGTGAGGGGGATGTGGCTGAGAGGTTGAGAAGCGCGCGAGGACCGTGCCGAGATTGTGAAACTCTATGGTGCGACGGATTACAGAGGCATAGGGCACCTGGCGGGGGAAACGGAGGGGGAAAAGTTGATTGAGCGGGTTAGAGGGGGAGAGGGGGAGGGTGAGAGAGGGAGAGGAGAAGGATAGGCGGTTGTGGAGACATAGAGGAAGGATATGGGTGAGGGATGGGAGGGGGAGCAGCAAGCAGGGTGAGCATGATGGCGAGATTGTGCAATGGTGCGATGGTTGACAGGCACACTGTCGCCACCAGCACCACTGTGCACTTGCCTAGCCCACACACCACACCTTCACACATATGTCGCTTTTGAGAATCTCCAAAAGAGAAACCCCAACTCACCTCTCCAAACTCTACAGCATGGGCACTTAGAGAACAATGCGGGATGGCCAGCTGCTGCCTTTCATCCAACTGCCGGCACGCCACAGCAACAGCAGCATCAAGCCTCTCCCTCTCCACCGCCTCCACCTGCACGGCAAACACCGCCGCCACGGGCCGATGGTCCGACAAGGCCAGCTCCGCGCACGAGTACGACACCAGCCCCAGCGCATCACTCACATACCCCCCCACGCTACTGCTCATGCTGCCGCTACTGGTGATCCCAGTGGTGCCGGTGTTGCTGCTGGGGCTGGGGCTGCTGATGCTGGTGGGGGGGAGGCTATCAGTGGCGTCCCCCGAGTCGTACCAGAGGATGCGGTCGCACCAGGCGGGCGTGAGCGCTTCTCCCCGTCCTCCTCGTCTTCTCCCACGTACCGGTTGCTGCCCACTGCGTACTTGTAGGTCGGGGCAAAGAAGATGGGACTTTCCCGCCACCCTGGTAACGCTCCGCCCTCCGAGAGCTCCCACCGGAGCTGAGGTAAGTGGGGAAGGGGAGGGGGAAGGAGGTTTTCGGGATGAAAACGCATGTGATGAGCCTCAGAGGGCGCTTCTCCTTGTTCAGCCGATCCTCTTAGTCCTCCTTCTCCCCGTCCTCCTCGTCTTCACCCATGTACCAGTTGCTGCCCGCTGCGTACTTGTAGGTCGGGGCGAAGAAGATAGGGCCCTCGCACCATCCAGGTAATGCCCCACCTTCTGAGATGGGGGAGGAAAGAGGGGAAGGGGGGATGAGAACGCGTTTGATGCGCTTTGAAGAGGGCTTTTCCTCGGCCTCCTGGTCCGCTGCGTAATTATAGGTCGGGGCGAAGAAAATAGGGCCCTTGCCAGCCGGGCAGCGCCTCGCCCGCTGAGAGCTCCCACCTGAGCTGCAGGAGGGGGAGGGACACGGGCAGTTGCGCATTTGAGGTGCCTCATATACAGTGCCTGTAGCCTGTAGGTGGGGGCAAAGGAGATGGGGCCTTCTCGCCACCCTGGGAGTGTGCGCCTTCTTCTGAGAGCTCCCACCGCAGCTGTGGGACGGGATAAAGGGAGAAGAGACGGGGATCCGGACCGGATGATATCGCATTTTACGTGCCTCATATGTCTTTTGGTTCGATTCAAAAGCCAACTGCACAACCCTGGTAGTACCCTCCCTTGAGAGCTCCTATCGTAGTTGTAGGAGAGGGGAAGGGAGGCAGGGTAAAGCATTAAGTCCTCAAACAGGGCAAGCCAGGTGCTTGGAACTTTGGTCTCAGATGGTTGCGGGGTGGGAGAGGAGAGATGGTGGCACAGTTCCACACAGCGACACATCCCACAGCATCACATCCCACTGCGCCACATCCCACAGCACCACATCCCACAGCACCACACTGTGGTGCTGCAGCATCGCCTCCCGGTCGCATTGGCCAGCTCATGAGTCGCAGTTGCACACCACTCGTTCTCGCTGCAGGACCATAATATCCATCCCACAACACCGCACTGCACCACACAGCATCCATCCCAACCCACCTGGTCATGCTGCAGCAACGCCTCCCAGTCGCGCTTGGCAAGCAGAGCTCTCGCCTCCTGATCCGGCAGCTCCAGGCGGTAGTTGAGATCTCCAAAGAAGAACACGTGACTGGTGGATGAGAAGAGAGGGTGAGGAAGGGTGGTCAATGGGGGAATGGGGAGAGATTGGGCTAGGGGGACAGCTCCCGGCGGTAGTTGAGATCTTCAAAGAAGAACACGCGACTGATGGGGAGGGCGACGGGAGGGACAGAAGGGAGGAAGGTTAGTGAAAGGGATGATGGGAGAAATTGGGCTTGGGGGGGAGCTCCATGCAGTAGCTGGGACATCCAAAGAAGAACATGCGACAGATGGAGTGGGCAGGGGGAAACGGGGGAGAGGGGAGGGGACGAGGAGAAGGACAGAGAAAATGGAGGAGTGGAGAGAAATATGGAAGGCAATTGAATTTGATGAATAAAAACACCTGGCTGGTGGAGGGGAAGGGGAAGGGGAAGGGGGAAGGAGAGGAGGTGGAGTTGGAAGGAGGGAGGTACCTCCAACCGGTGCGGTAGTTGAGAGTGTTGAAAAAAAAATGCTTGACTGACAGAAGGGGTGGGGGGGAAGAGCTGTTCATTAGAATTCTCAAAAATCGCTCATGGGGGTAAGAGAATGAGGATGAGAAAGGAGAGAGTAGGGAGGATGGTGAGAGGGAGAAAGGAGAGACTGGTTTGAGGTGGCACCGTGTGGAAGAGGTGCAAGGGAAAACCTTGAAGAAGCAGAAAACTTTCAGACATGCGTTGCAAGTTGCATACCATAGCAGTGAGGCCCGCCTGTCCATTGCTGCTGACTATTCCTTGCCTCGCTCCCACTCTTTGCACTGACATACTCACTGCCACTGAGATGATGAGGGAGGTGGTATGAGAGAGGTACCACGAGAAGACATGGTTGCAATCATGGGCGCAGCCTAGCATGCTCACGCGCATTAGCAAAAACATCATTAGCAACAGCAATGGGGCATTTGTTGGATTCGAAGACATCTGCAGCCAGCTTCGTAATCAATGCAAGCCCTCGAACGTTGGGACAGGAGGTGAGGTAGCCACTGCAGCAGCAGCAGGGACAGCAACAGTGAAGGGAGCATTAGTAGAAACAGCTACAACAATAGCCCGCATCAACCAGCGCATGGAGGAAGAGGGAGGGAGCAGGAGGGTAGTGGAGGGCAGGGAAGAGAAAGGACAAGAGAGAGTGGAAGGCAAGGAAGTGGGAGGAAAAAAGGGAGTGTGATGTTATGAAGAGGGAGGTTATGAGGGAGAGATTGAGGGGAGGGGAGAGGTTTGGGAGGAGGGAGGGATAAGAGAAGGAGGAATGAGAGAGGAAGAGGAAACGGGAAGGGAAGTTGAAGCGAAAAGAGAAAGGAGAGGGAAACGGGGAAGAGATGTCACCATAGACACCAGAAATGATATTTATGTGAACCCCCAAACCTTCCACCCGCTGACTCTCCCCAATGTCGAGAACCAAGCCATCCATCACTCGTATGTGATCCTTTCTCTAACCCCTTCTCTACCCCCTTCTCTTCCCTCTTAAGTAAGGATGGAAAGAATCACATCCGAGGGGTGGACGGCGTGGTTTGCGACATTGAGGAGGAGTAAACAGCTGTTAAGAGAAGAGTCAGCATGTGGAAGGTTCAAGGGTTCACGTAATTTTTTATTTCTAATGTCTGTAGTAGCTTCCCGTTTCCTTCCCCTTTCTCTCCTCGCTTCAACTCCCATTCTTGTTTTCCTTTTCCCCTCTTATTTCTCCCTCCTTTTCTCCTGCCTCCTCTCAAACATCTTCCCCTCCCTCTTCCTCTCCTTCTAACCTCCCGCTTCTCGGCCCCACACTTCCTCTTCTCCTCCCACTTCCCTGCCTTCTACTCTCTTTTCTCCTCCCTCTTCCCTACTCTCTATTACCCATCCTGCTCCCCTCTCTTCCTCCATCCGCTCGCTGATGCTGGCTAGCTACTTCGTTTGCTGCTGCTCCCACTCTTGTTGCCCCTGCTGCTGTTGTAGCGACTGCCCCACCTCCCATCCCAAGGTTCGAGGATCTGCACAGACTACGAGCTCGGCTGCAGACGTCTTCAATTCCAACAAACACTCTATTGCTGTTGCTAATGATGAGCGCAGCCTGGCAAATACCTTCATCTCCTGGCATCTCCTTCCACCAAAGGCCAAAGCCAAGGTGTTAGCCTGATACCAGACAGTTAATTATTTCTTTCAACCACATTGCACCGCACTCAATCGCTCACCTTGCTGCCAAGAATGCCCATGAATCCACAGCCCACGTCATGAATGTGTCTCCCAGCCCCTTGCGCGCCCACACCATCAGACACACTAACACCATCTGCCTCCGCGCCACCCTTCCCCTCCTTCCATCGCATGCACTGCACCCAACCGCACTCAACCGCTCATCATGTTCCCCAGGATGCCCATGAGTCCACAGCCCACAGTGCTAGCCTTCACGCTATGGACGTGCCTCCTCAGCCCCTTGCGTGCCCACACCATCAGATACACCCCCACCATCTGCCTCCCAGCCACCTTCACATATGCCTCCTCCACCTCTCCTCCCTCCCACTCCTCCATCTCATCTCCCCTTGCCCCTTGTCCCCCTCCCTTTGCCGCCTCCTCCCCTCCACCTTCCTCTTACCCAACCTTCCCTACCTCCCCTCCCTCACTTGCCTGCACACCCCCCGACTCTTGCCTATTAACGGGAATGGAGTGTTGGCCCCGCCCTCGCTTGGGCAATGCCGACGACTTGGTCGGATGTACGGGAGTAGCAGCCGACCGTTCACAGTGGGAGAGCTGCTCGACAGGTTTCGTCGAGCTGCAGGAGACCGCTGTGGTGTTGCTGTCGATCAGGGCGCTCGACAGCTGCAACTGACTGGCCTGGGCGACGGGTGGGCCGTCCGGGAGGTCGACGGAGCAATTCGTCGACCTGCAGTTCGACCAGAGGGTCGATGGAGCAATCCGTCGACCTGCAGCTCGACTGGGAGGTCGACGGAGCATGTCTGGTCGACAGAAGGGGTCCGTCGACCAGGGGGTAGCCCGACGAGAGCTGTGGTCGACCAGAGGCACCTGGTGGTCGACCGGGAGCATCTGGTGGTGTCCAGGTCGACCGGGTAACCTGCTCGACGAGTTCTGCGGAGGCACGCGAACGTCGTCGAGATCGCGATGGCAAAAGCGACTGCGGGCTGGTATCCCGAAGTCGATGTGGCTTGTCAGGCGCAGACAACAGCCGACGGATGCCCAACAAGGCAAGTCGGGCCAATCGTCTGCGCACACCTGCGAGCGTGCGCACTGCTGTCTTCTACGGGGCAACGCTGGACAGCCGCACAGCTGCAGCGTTGGCACGCCGTCGACCTGCAGTGTTGGCAGGTCGCTCTTCTGCAGTGCTGGCGCGGCTCCTCTACGCAACGCTGGCAGGCGGTCGACCATGCAGTGCTGGCAGTCGACCAGGCTAGCTCCAGAGTTGCTAGGTGCCTGATGTAGTCCATTCTGTCATTGCTTGTTCAATCATTCTGTATTCTCAACTTTGCTAGTGAAACTCTTGCCAATCTCTCCCGTGAATGCGCAAGTGCTAAGGAACCAAGCAAAGCTACGATCACTCCTAGTAGTTCATGCCAACCCCCATAGTCTACCTCACTACCGTTGTAGAGTGAATCTCCGCATGGTGCGGTGAGCGTGGATCGAACACGCGACCTTCAGATAGGAGCCGACTTTTGCACCTACTAAGTCGTTCATAGGCCGGCAGCAGCGTTAGTCGTCATGGTCGACCCCGTTGTAGAAGCGGGCGTAGCGGACACCTTGGAGACACGCTTGGCTGATGCGAGGAGACGCCATGCAGATGGCGAGTACAGGACGATCCCCTTGACGATCGTCGAGTTGGGCATCCGGGCGCAGTGGGCGACGGAACACCCTTCCCGTCCTGCATCTCCTCGACCGGCACGAAACGAAGGTGGCGTCGACGACGAGGTCGACGGCGGTGCTCGAGTCAGCGGCAGCGAAGGCACGAGGCAGAGAGGGGTGATCAAGGTCGACGGTGGCGTCGACGGAATCCAGGCGCGAGTACAGCAGTCGACGGCGGCTGCTGGCAGCTCGCGTGCCAACGTCGATGTTCGACGTCGCTCTCCTCTACGAAGCGGTGGAGGGCTCTCGGCGACGACGCATGTGACGGCGGGCGGGATTGCACCGGCGTATGGCTACTTCAAGTTCTCGCCGGACCGGATCACCGTCGCCCCGCTGCAAGGTCGACGAGACCTCATCACCTGGAGGGAGTCGATCGAACCTCAGCTGGAGGTCGCCGGGCTGAAGGGCTTCGCCGACGGCACCGTGCCGTTTCCGCCCGAGGAGGACGTCGAGCTGTGCGGGAAGTTTCATGCTGCTCACCTGCTCACTTTCATGGTCATCTCGAGGTGCTGCTCGCCGGTGGTGCAGCTAGCGCTCAGGAGCTGTCAAGAGCGACTTGATGCTGGTCACCAGGCATGGCATTTCATTCTGTCGACGTACCAGGTGAAGGACGACCTGTACATCGGCCAGCTGGAGGAGAAGATGACTCACATTCGGATGGGCGAGCAGGAGTCGGCGACGGACTACTGCAACCGTGCTCGACGGATCCTGGCGGAGATGCGGATGGCGGGCGCCGAGTACTCGACGGCGTCCTACATCACTCACCTCGTCAAGGGCCTGCCGCGCAGCTACAACCTCATGAAGAGGATGATGATGGTGCCCGGCACGCGTGAGTCCCTCGACGAGGACTCCATCACCAGCTACATTCTCCAAGATGAGGCGATGCAGGAGGCAGAACTACCCACGGAACTCCTTCCGCAGGCAAACTACGCTGCACCGACGAAGCTGAATCAGCAGCAAGGGCAGCGCGGGAAGCCGGGCGGAGGTGGTAG